TACTCTACTCTACTCTACTCTACTCTACTCTACTCTACTCTACTCTATTCTTATTGTACCCTAGGACTATCATTAAGTGTTGCACCTTATGATTCTTGACTCTTGACAAATGAATCTTTTATGTACACTGAGAGCATTTGCACCAAGACAAATTCCTTGTGTGTCCAACCACACTTGGCCAATAAAAAGAATTCTACCCTATTTAGTCCTGCCGGCCACATGACCACGGAGACGTCTTCGGACAGCGTTGGCTCTTTGGCTTTGTAACGCAGATGAGTACCGCCTCCTGGAGCCTGAAACAAGTAGCACGGATGTGCGAGGGGAACCTTTACCTTTAAGATACGTTTTATAACCAGCTGTTTACGCCATTCTCAGGGGTCTCCTCTGTGTTACCTCTGCTCTTCTAATCTGGGAAACCCGCAAATCAAATTTGTTTCTGGGACACGTTCCTTGTTAGAATTCCCTCTCGAGCCATCTGTGGTGCAGTCTGCTCTTCGGAGCAGCTGCCAAGGAAGCCAAATGACGAGGACTGGTATTTATTATTATTTTCAAAGGTGACCTTTGCTTCCTAGAACCGCCGCAGTGATCGTTCCCACCTTCAAGCCATGCTCGACGGCCATTTTCCTTGGGGAGCTAGGGCATTTATCCTCAGCAGCGGCTTGTCAGGATCCCAATCCTCATCCATCAAAGTTTGTCCTCCTGGAGAGGTTGCTGACTTCATAGGTTTCCTTAAGAAAAGCCTCCAAATCTCTTATCTTAGGGAGGACAGAGGCCCTCGGTGACTTTTGACTTCCGAGCACATTAATTCTTCTCTCTTCCCCCCACCTCCCCACCCCCACTGCACTGCCTGGGGGATATTTATAAAACCTGGACACGGATGGATCAAAATCCTCTCATTCAGCAAGATCTTTTTTGATCAGGGCACATGGTGCTGCGTTGGGCACTTTGAAACTGGATATAATGGTCGGCGGGAAACGATTTCGGGAGGCAGGAGGAAGAAACATACATCCAGGCTTGCAAGATTCCATTAATGTAACCTTAGAAATAAAGTTAGAGCTATTATTCTGGGTGGATGCTTCCGGTCTGGATTACCTCAATCTTGCACGTCTGAAAGAACATCTCCGCCCTACGTGGGTGGTGCTTCCTATCGAGGCTACATCGAACCTTGCAAATCCGAAAGAACATCTCTTCCTCCCTCCCCACCTTTACGGTCCAAGAAACTTGGAGGGTTTCTCCTGAGATGTTTGAGATGCAACGGATAGGAACTAATCAAGGAGAGATCCAAGCTAGAAATAAGTAGGAATGTCCTGATGGGGAGAAGAGTGAACCAGTGGAATGGCTTGCCTTCAGAAGTTGTGGGTGATCCATCCCTGGAGGCTTTTAAGAAGAGACTGGGCAGCCACTTGTCTGAAACAGGATAGGGTCTCCTGCTTGAGCAGGGGGCTGGACTAGAGGACCTCCAAGTTCCCTTCCGACTCTTATTCCGAGAACCTCTGAGAAGTTTGCCATGTCCCTTTCTTCCTGAGGGCTCAGCTGCCTCTTCTCAGTTCTCTGTGATTCTTGCTTTTCTCTCCCGAGGCCATCCCCACATATCATGACTCTGGGTCAAGAGCACACTCAAAGCCCCACCACCACCAAAAAATGGTGTGATGCCCATTCACAATTTTAATGGAGACCTGCCAGCAAGTTTCAAGCTTCCTTCTGCGGCTGAGCCAGAAATGCCTCTCTCACCCACCTCCTTGGGAAAAACCCAGCAATTATTCTATAAAACAGAGGTAGAAGTTGATAGATGTATTTTTAAAGTAATATAAACTGTGTAGGCGGCAATAGTATTCCCCCCCACTTCTCTTCTTTCCAAGGTAATTCCGTTGCTCTCTATTATATCACCTTTAATAGAATCAATTCTTTCTCATATAGCAATAATAGGTTAAAACAGAAGGTTGTCTATCATGCCGAAACAAAAAAGCGGCTTCATTCTGTTTGCACAACGTGTTTTACCAGATCGGTTAAAAACCTTGTGGTTACATCAGCATTACATGCTAAAATATATTTTTGGGGGGGTGGGGAGCAGAGGGGGAAACCTATTTTTCTTCATTTAGGTCTGGATATAATCTGACAAAGGAATAAGTCAATATTCCAGTTGAAGCTTCCCCGGTCCCTATGCAGAGCTTACATTTTAGAATTTTCAGAGTTTTCAGCTGCAAAAATAACTATTTATTATCCAATTCCAGCCATCAACCCAGTTACAAAGTCTGGACCTTTGCGAATTATGTAGACGGTGGATTTTGACCATTCCTATTCTACATTCTGGAACTTGCAGAAGGAAAATCATGCATTTGAAAAGTAAAAACATAGTTATTTTGACAAAACTTCCTCCAGGCTGAACAGTTGCTATAACAGAATTCTTTTTTTCCCCTCCGGACTGTTAGCTGCTGTTAGAGAAGTCCTAATAGGAACCCCAAATCTAGTTCCGGATCCATGAGACATAAAGATCTGCCTTAAAATGTCACCATCCAGTAAAAAGGAAACTCTGCAAGCCATCGGTTGCCCACAACACCACACAACTCAATTTAAGGAACCGCTTCTGTGCCGTGCTGTTTAATCTGCAGGGACCTTGGCGGGTGCATGAAAGACGAAGAATTGTTGGGGAAAAGCTAAGCAGTGACATTGTCAACTCAGGTGGGTATCTCTAGGTCAGAGATTGAGTCTTAAGCTAGTATAGGCAGACTACAACTATTCTCTTCTATTGATAGTAGAGGTAAAGTAGCACATATGTGCTACTCATTTCTGGCTCTAGGGGGTGGTGCTCATCTCTGTTACGAAGCTGAAGAGCCAGCGCTGTCTGAAGACGTCTCCGTGGTCATGCGGCCGGCCAGACTAAACGCCGAAGGCGCACAGAACGCTGTTCCCTTCTTCCCACCAAAGGGTCCCTATTTTTCTACTTGCATTTTTAACATGCTTT